CCACTCACTTACACATGGGTGAACTATCAATATCCCATTCTGAGCAGGGACTGTGGTTATTCACACCACAAAGAAGTGATCTATAATGTTACAAACCATAAACTTCAGCAAGTAGACCTGGATATCTTTTTAAATGGAGATGCTTACTATCCAGCTATTTGTTTAGTACCCTTTCTGAAGACTTGCCAATCTAGATTGAACACACGTAGCAAAACACAGCAACAGACCAGATTTCCTTGGAAACTGAAGAAGAAGAACTGAGTTTTGGTATATTGTGATAAAGTATAAAAAAGTGCTTTCACTGCTAAATGGGCTGTACATCATGTGTCAGGTTCAAGGCAGCTACGGGATGAGTATGATTTGCTTCACTGGTACAAACAAGTTCAAAGAGTCAGCTGTAGCTGCGTGATATGAGCAAGAAAAACAGAGATGGATTCAGGATTCCAGCAAAAGAAATGCAGTTCAATTTATATGGATTTAAACTGGCAGAACAGGTATAGCAAAATCAGCAGGGCTCCTTTCTGTAGCAATCTGATAATTCCCAGTACTTGCTGAAATTTCTATCACAACCACCAGAAATGTTGGAACTGAAAGTCAAGATGGAGGATGCTGGGACGACAGACTCCCTGGGTTAGAGATTCCTGTTATTTTTGCCTTTGTTTTGAAAGGGGTGGGGCCCCCTCCTTGGTGTTTCTCACTACCCTGTCTGAATGATAAAGAAGAAATGGACAGTTGTGCCATGCTTCTTTAATATGCTGTCTGTGCCCTCCAGATTGAGCAGACGCCCTTCTGAAGTGCTTCTTCAGAAGACGTGGAACTTGCACCATTAGTGCAACAATGTTTGAAAACCACCAAACAACAATTCCTACATTGGGTCAACCAAAAAGATACAAATTTGATATGGTCTAGACATCCACCAATGCAAGTAGACACCACTCCCTTTGGCCATGGGCCAAAACAAAAGAGTCCTACCTTCCAAGGTATCAATTTTCAACTTCATTATTAATTGAAAAAGTACCTTCCCTCGAGATCCTGACTGTTTCTGGAACTTTTCATGAAGTGTCTTTCTACACAGTCCTATATCCCAGAATATCAAGGCAGAAAATCCCACATTATCTGAGTGTGGATTCAGACAACCCAGTTCAAAGCAGATACCATATTGTGGGATTTTCTGCCTTGATATTCTGGGATATAGGACTGTGTGGAAGGGCGCTAGAACTGCATTTGGTGAGTTTTTGACAGTGGAGCTCACTGCCTCGAAGTGTGATTGAGTCTCCTTCTCTGGGTTTTTTTTTTAAAACAGAAGCTCTTTAGCTCTCCTTTAATTGTGTATTCTTGCATGGGGAGAGTTGAACTGGATGGCCTTTGGGGTGTCTTATAACTCTATGATTCTATGCTCCCCTAAAGGTGAACCTAACCAAAACAGTTATGTGTAGACCTATTCCATTCTAAATTATTTTCTGTTTTAAAGGTGACTATAAAAACATTCTGATGGAAGTTTCTTTATAAAGGAAGCTTGTATAAGCACTTATCACTTACTATTACATTCATGGACCACTGAGCAATAGACACAACCGGAGACCATTCACAGCTTCCAAATGCTGGACCCTAAGGCAAGACTAGTAGTACAAATAAAAACCTATCCATTTCATATATCGAAAGCCTTTTGCTGCTCTCTGGTGGTTCTCTGTAGAAATACATCAGTGAACATAAAAATGAAACACTGGCCACATATGTGGACATTTCATTGTAATATTTATTTTGAATTCCTGGAAGCATTTTAGAAAATGCTGTTTTATCTATCAGTCAAGTTTATGTTCATTTCTTCCTACCATAACAATGCTAGGCCTGTGTTGGGGAGGCAAGGGATGGAGGACCCCGCTTTCTTTCTTGGGATGTCACCTTGAAATGCTTCATTATGCTTGGGATTGAATTACTTTATAAGAAATATGTGCAGAATAATGGAATAATAGATATTTCTTTAAGATGTATCATTTCTAAAATCAGTGATCTGTTCATGAAGTTACCCTAAAAAAGATTTTTTTTTCTTTCTTCTTCTCCAACTGTTCACATTAAGCTACTAAACAAAAATAACTGCAGGGCATTCAATAAATATCCTCTCCTCACAGTTCACCATCATTATCCACAACTTCTTCTTCATCATCATCATCATCATCATCATCATCATTTATACCCCTTTTTACCTCTCCTGAAAGGGACTCAAAGTGGATTGACATAAAAGCATTAGCATACAATTTAAAATATATAAATATGCAAACATTAAAACAAAATTCACTATAAATAGTATTTTAAAAATCATTTAAAATCCATTAAAACATATTCAAAGTTTTAAAAAACCACAGTATCCCCTGATTAGATCTTAAAAACCTTCATCTTTAAATGTGGTTGGGATTCTATCTATACACCACACACAGGGCCGTAGACAGAAATAATTGTAATAATTGGATTTTGAAAAATTTGGCTTGTTGTAGAAACAAAGATTGGTAAGAAAGCTTCAGCTGAGACACCTTTCCCCCATAATAACTTTTTCACGAGTGAATTTCCCTTCCTAGGGGTAGATTTCTCTCACTTCTTGTTGTCTCACCCCTGTTTGTAACTATGAGTCATTTGTAAGTCAGATGTTTGTAACTCAGGGACTGCCTGTATAGCGCTTGCATGATGAGTTGTACCTACTGTTATGGCCACAAGCTGGAACATATTCCATGATTCTTTTTCATATGGCCATCCTGAGTAAGGCCCCTGAAAACCCCTCAGTAGGAAAGTATGCCTTCAATATGGAGTCTTAAATCTCTCAATCAACATAGACTTCATGTTTGAAGTCTATGAGGTCATGTTCATCCATAACTTGCACAAAACTGGCCTTAGCCTTAGGGTGCAGAAAAAATCTGGGTTATAATCAAGACTGAATATCAAACTAAAGTTAAGGCTCATGCTGGATTTAAAAATCATTATATCAGACAGGCTAGCATGCGAGTTTGGAACAAACACAAACAAATGCTTCCCCCCCCCCCCCCTAAGATAATATTAGCCACTTCACCACAAGAAGTCTTTCAAAGGAAACCGGAGATGGCTGCTTTATGAGAATCTGTCGTACTTGGAACAAAAGAGCAAGGAGCTTAAATCAAAAGAGATGTGTCTTAAGGAAGGGAAAGGTCTCTGTTGGTTTGCTTACTTGCAACTTAAGGAGAGATTTAATCAAGATAAAGCAGATCTAGACATCGAGGTCTGAACAAATGAATTTTTTTAGAGCTTTGGAAAAAGGTTGAATGTGTAATGAAAAGTGTGTAGATATCAACTAAAATTAGAGACAGAACATGAATTTATAACAGATTGTATGATAAGATGGGCCAAAAAATTAGGGCACAATATTTAAATGGATGTATGGGAGAAATTGTGGAATAACAATATTTACTGTCTGCAGTCACTAAAAGATGTGTATGAGCTGATGTTTAGATTGTATCTAAATCTAAATATGCTGTCAACAATGTCTAAAAATGCTTCAATGTTGGAGTTGTTCCTTTTTCATATATGGCAGGTATGTAAGAAAACTAAAAGCTTTTGGTCACATATGCTAACTAAAAGAATAAAGATTGATTTTGCAATGATACCAGGAATATTCTTATCGAGCATTAGATACAGGAGCAAATATGGACTACTTTAATAAATAATAATGGAGGCTAAGACCTGGAAATAACACTCAAGCACTGATGATGGACAAATGAATTGTTAAACCAGCTGAGTTAGCAAAACGGCCAGATTAACATGAGTTTTAAAGGAAAAACCATTTGAAGAATATTTGAATGATTGGAAACCATTTATGGACTTTCTGAGCAATAAGAAATCAAAGAATGTAATAATTTGTGGTAATGGTTATTGGTAATGCTATTCGGGTTTTTAGCTAGATCTATAATGGAAGAGCAATATATCCTCTCCTTTCTTTCTTTTATTACAGTCCGTGATTGAGGTTCAGAGTTCATTAGCGTGTTAGTGCTTTAGTTACAATTTAGAATGAGATGGGATTGGTAGTTTATTGTCAAAGGCTTTCATGGTCAGAATCACTGGGTTGTTGTGAGTTTTCCGGGCTGTATGGCCATGTTCCAGAAGCATTATCTCCTGAGGTTTCACCTGCATCTATGGCAGGCATCCTTGGAGGTTGTGAGGTCTGTTGGAAACTAGGAAAGTGGGGTTTATATATCTGTGGAATGTCCAGGATGGGAGAAAGAACTCACGTCTGTCGAGGCAAGTGTGAATGCTGCAACTGGACACCTTGATTAGCATTTAATGGCCTAGCAATTTCAAGGTGTGGCTTTTTACTGCCTGGGGGAATCCTTTGTGGGGAAGTAACTGGCTGGCTCTGATTGTTTCTTGTGTGGACTAAAAAACTCTAAAATTATAACAATAAATAAAGAACAATATTCAAAAACAGGAGCATCCCAGACAAGAAACAATCAGGGCCAGCTAATCATCTCCCAACAAAGGATTGCCCCAGGCAGTAAAACGTCACACCTTGAAACTGTTCAACCATTAATTGCTTATCAAGGTGGCCAATTGAAATATTCACACCTGTCTCAAAAAGACAAGAGTTCTTCCTCCCACCCTGGACATTCCACAGATATATAAACCCAATTTGCCTAGTTTCCAACAGACCTCACAACCTCTGAAGATGCCTGCCATAGATGCAGGTAAAACAATAGGAGAGAATGCATCTGGAACATGGCCATAGAGCCTGGAAAACTCACAACAATCTGCTTGATAGTTCCTCTTTCCAAACTTATGAAAATAGTACCTGGAATCAATGCAATTTTAAAAAAAGAATAACCAAACAACTTACGTAATATTTTTGATTATTAAACGTTTAGTGTCATTGTGCTCCAGGGGACATGTATAATGAACATGTTTCATTTTGTGATGTGAGACAGGACTGCCGGATACAATGTACGAAAGACAGAAGATTGGTTTAGAGAAATCATGTATCCTACCTCATGTTCCCAGCGATAAGGAGGCACAGATTGTATATGTGAGAAAAAAAGAAGAGGAAGAGGATGGTGCTGAAGAACATTGTCATCCAAGACCCGTGATCCTCTCTAAACATTTTCAATCGCAGCAATTGACCTGCAATGAGAAGATTAGAAATGTGTTGAGAGGTTTTCCTCGAACAGGTCACCTACTGCTTGATATGATAGCGAGAGAACACAGATGGAGCATATGGAGTTCTAGAATTGAATCAAACTCCAATAAACATGCAAATAAGCATTTCGGGCAAATAACACAGTCAACAGTTCCATTGTAAGACATCTGTTTACACTGTAACAGGCAGGCACCCTTCCCAACCACTGTCACGTGGCTTGGGAAATGTGACTCTCATCCCCAGCTCATTTAACCATGGAACAATTCCATGTAATAGATTCTGTTTAATTAAAGTGTCGCCTGTGGTGACTCCCACAGAGTAAGACATAAAAGAGAAGTCTCTTAAAGGGCCCCTGTCTAGCAATGGCAAAGAGGTATATTGTGACTCTGACAAAGTTTTTCCCCTCCCATGAGAGTCCCTAGAGCAACACCCCCATGGAGAATCCAAAATCACAGGAAGCTGTATTTTTAAAAATCGAATAATTTCAATCCCAACCAAGAGCAGCTCTTTGGGGAAGCCGCTCAAGTGTCAAAGATACTTTTGATTGCAAGAGAACTCATGCATTATAAAAACGACAGCTCATAAAAATACACTGTTAGGATGTGTTGTGATTTACATAAGTGTTGACTAATCATTTAGCAACTGATTCAATGGAATGAAGATAAATGTCTGAATAAGTAAAAAAATCAATGTGAGATCTTCATAACATTATGGATGAGATTAAATACTCTGAGAAAGCTGATAAGGATAATTTTTTTACCCTAAGTCTTACTGAACCTGAAGTCATTCATCAGCCACCCTAAGATTGTGGAATGAACAGTCAGAAGAGATCCAACGCCTTTGAAAACTGTTTGGAACCTTCAAATGGTCCAGCGGGCGACAGCCAGGCTACTAACAGGAGCAGAACTCTGGGAGCATACAACTCCACTGTTGTGCCAGCTCCACTGGCTCCCAATTTGCTACCGGGCACAATTCAAAGTGCTGGCTTTAGCCTATAAAGCCCTAAATGGTTCTGGCCCAACCTACCTATCCAAATGTCTCTATCCTTATGAACCTTCCAGGAATTTAAGATCATCTGGGGAGGCCCTGCGCTTGATCCCGCCTGCCCCACATGTGCGCTTGGCGGGAATGAGGGACAGGGCCTTCTCAGTGGTGGCCCCTCAACTGTGGAACTCCCTTCCTGGGGATATTAGATCGGCCCTCTCCCTCCTGACCTTTAGGAAAAGAGTAAAAACCTGGCTCTTCGAGCAAGCTTTTGGAACCTCATTATAACCAGATAAACTCAGTATTGTGAACAAATATGGAACGGCTTAACGATGCAAATGGACATGGATTTAAACATGGAAGTCACAGATTTTTATAGTTTTAAATTGTTTTATATGCATTTTATTATGTGATTTAATCTCTTCTTAAACTATGTATTTATGTGTGTTCGGCATCTAATTATTGCCAGTTTGTACGCTGCCCTGAGTCGCCTTCGGGCTGAAAAGGGCGGGATAAAAGTATGGTAAATAAATAAATAAATAAATAAATAAATAAAAAGCTAAACCAGCTATTGGATTTTAAGGCACAACTTAAGACTTATCTCTTATGGCAGGCCAATCCAGTCAGTTTTAACTATAATTTTTAAAATCACATGCTATTTTTATTGTGTATTAACTTTGGTGTCATGTATTTTAATATGTGTATACTTTAATATTAAAATACATAATACAAAAGTTAAAAAACAATAAATATGTGTATATACTTTAATATAAGGCCTCCTGGTGGCGCAGCGGGTTAAAACACTGAGCTGCTGAATTTGCTGACCGAAAGGTTTGGTGGTCCAAATACAGGAAACGGATTCAGGCCCAGCTTTTGTCAACCTAGCAGTTCAAAAACATGCAAATGTGAGTATATCAATAGGTACCACTTCTGAAGGACAGTAATGACACTCCATGCAGTTATGCTTGGAGGTGTCTACGGATAACATTGGCTCTTTGGGTTAAAAGTGGAGATGAGCAAGACCCCCCCCCCCCCAGAGTCAGACACAATTAGATTTAATGTTAGGGGAAACCTTTACCTTTACTTATACTTTAATATGTGTTGTTACGGTTCTATGTTAACTATGTTTTAATATGTGCTTTTATAGATGTCTTTGACTATGTTGTACCCTGCCTTGAACCAAAAGGAGAGGCAGGCAACAAATAAACATGTATTTATTTATTATTCGTAGAAGTTAAATGGTGGGAGGGTCAAGACAGATAAAAATACTTCTTTATACAACACATAGGCTAACTGGGAATTTGCTACTAGAAAATGTAATGTCAGCTTCGGTTTGGGAAAGAAATTGGATCAGATTTCTTTATACTGCAGTCATATTTCAGGGTTTTTTTCATGTCAGGAGAGACATGAAAGAGAATTGACTGTCTGCAAGGATGTTGCCTATGAGATGTCCAGATGTTTTATTCAACCCACTCCCTGGATTCGAATTGCCAACCTTTCAGTCAGTGGTCCTGACGGCACAAGGGTTTAACCCACTGTGCTGAGGGCTCCTATATATCAGTTAATAAATCATAAAGAAGCTATTTTTAAAAAAATCTTTTCTGATCCCTTCTATCCTCCATGTTGCTCAAAAATTTTGAGCAGCATCAGGATTAATAGGATCGTGAAGTATAGCTGGAAAAACACAGACTCCGGATGTTGATTTGCAGCAGCATGTTTGTGGAGAACAATGCAATATACCATGAGCTGGGAAAGAACAAGGTTCTGCTCTAGCCAATCTTACCATAGTTGTGTGCATCTACCAACAGCTGGAAAGGTGAACCACAATCGCCTCCACAATGGATGTTAAAACAGAGATAAAAAGGGACAACAGGAAAGACTACCTCAGCAGCATATTAAAAGCTAAATCTCTATAAGGTTGGTCACCAAAACGGAAATCATAAGAGAAGTTCAGGCTTGTGAAAGAAAAGAAAGTCATCCCTGGATGCATTTTGGAAGAAGCCTCCAAGGAGTCTCCCGAAGGTTCAAAGTGGTGTTCTTTTCCAAGATTTACCTGATTTAGTTGTGTGTTTTGAGGGTTTCTTTCTGTTTGGGTATATTACTTTTCTAAATAGGACATTTCCTGAAACTTCCTCCCACATGTGGGAGTCAAACTCTGCCTGTATTTACTCATTCAGTTTATTTACCACATTTTTTTTGCCCCAAATCAAACTCATTCATAGAGGATAAGATTATTCAGAAACTACTAGTAGCTGATGGAGAATTGCAATGCAATTACCTATATTCTCTACAAAGTGTAAGAGAAGAACTTTTATCATGGCTACTCAACCCTGCAGAATACTAATTATACCTGCTGGGGAAAATTTCACTCAGTGGTATAATAACAAAGTCGTCATTAGTCTTCTAACAGGATATTGGCAATATCTTTTTTATCTCCATAAGACAGAAAGGATAGTTGCTGAATTACAGCCATGGTTATATTCCCAACTTAAAGGGAGGAGGGGAACTATACAGATGTAAAATCTAGTCTGTTTGATTTCAGATATCGCAGTCCAACCTACAGCAGAGTCAACAAAACTTGTAAATGTTAACTTGCCACTTTCTTTCTCTTGAGGCAACAGTAAGTACAATATCCCTAAGTGCAAGAAGTGATATTTCAAGGGGCAAAGCTAAATGACAGTGATGGGGTTTTGTGAACAAACAGGGATGCTAATGGCTTTTCTGGATATATTTCTATTGCAGAGGACTATGTAAACCATGGGATGCCTACTATCTGTCAGGCTATTTGATTGATGCAGTTGTTTTCCATCAATCTAAACAGAATCTCATTGATTTTAGAGAGACTAGGGTCAAATCCAAAAATATGGAAGTGCAATGAGTCCGGGACCAGAGGAAGCAGAATGGCTGGGGCACTTTTTAAAAACTTCCCCATAAAAAAGATGAAAATTAATTCTTCTCCCAAACTCTTTCATGAAAGCCAGAAGATCAAAAAGAAAAGTTATAGCCCAATATTTTCCCTGCTTTGGTTTATGTCAGTTGGAGCAGCATTTCTCAACCTGGGGGTGGGACCCATGGGGGGTGTCACGAGGGGGTGTCAGAGGCGTCACCAATGACCATCAGAAAACACAGTATTTCCTGTTGGTCATGGGGGTTCTTTGTGAGAAGTTTGGCCTGATTCTATCGTTGGTGGGGTACAGAATGCTCTTTGATTGCAGGTGAACTATAAATCCGAACAACTACAACTCCCAAATGTGAAGGTCTATTTTCCCCAAACTCCACCAGTGTTTACATTTGGGCATATTGAGTATCCCTGCAAAGTTTGGTCCAGATCCATCATCGTTTGAGTCCACAGTGCTATTGGGATGTAGGTGTACTACAACTCCAAAATGCAAGGTCAATGCTCACCAAACCCTTCCAGTATTTTCTGTTGGTCATGAGAGTTCTGTGTACCAAGTTTGGTTCAATTCCATCATTGGTGGAGCTCAGAATGCTCTTTCATTGTAGGCGAACTTTAAATCCCAGCAACTACAATCCCCCCCCCCCCCAACCCCACCAGTATTCAAATTTGGGCATATTTGGTATTTGTGCCAAATTAGGTCCAGTGAATGAAAATATGTCCTGCATATCAGATATTTACACTACAATTCATAATAGTAGCAAAATTACAGTTATGAAGTAGCAACAAAAATAATGTTATGGTTGGGTGTCATCACAACATGGGGAACTGTATTAGGAGGATTGAGCATCACTGAGTTAGAGCAAAATGAGTTGAAATGCAAAAGTAGTTTGCTCTCAGAGAAGAAAGGAGAGAGGATTAATTTTTTCTTTCCTTGCAGATTCAATCAAAAGCAAACTGATACAGATAGCTCATGTGAAAAGATTTGTGAATAGTTGCTCTTTTCCTAATACTGCTAGCTAAAGTTCTGGATAGACTCGGCCAAAAATAAAAACAGACTAAAAATGTTGTTTTATTTTATTTTATTTTATAATTTTAGGTTTTGTTTGTTTAACAGACACTTCTAAAAAAAGGAAACTGGTATTGCAGAATTTGAATTTATTCATTATTTCAAACTGATCTAAGTTTCAGTCATTTTCTGGTTTTGCAATATATTGGTTATCTCCCAATTACTGTTTGAATGAATAAAATAATTACCTTAATACAACATGATAAAAACCATGGCATAACATGATAAAATATGCATGATATATTATCAGAAAAACTTAAATAATAAAATGTTGTAGTGCCATTTAATTATAGAAAGGTTTTCCTTTTTGTTATCTCTGATGAAAATGTGTCTTAGCAAATATTTGCAAAACCATTGTTTCCGTTTCCCACTAGCCTTCCCTTGTCTTGAGGGGAAAACAGCAAAATGCACGTGATCCATGTGCCACACAGGTTTGGTCTTTTGTGTGGTAATTGTTGCACTTTAGCACAAGTTGCAGTAATTACAGGTAGCAACACAATACAGAATTATCCAAATAAACCTTATTTGATTGCTTCTCATCTTGCAAGGGCTCATTTTTATGTATTTATTACTGAGAAATAGTTCACAGATATCATAAGCAGAAATACAACAGCCAGTCATATTGAGAAATCAGACCCCCAAATATATGAAAATATATGAAATCTTGGGTGCAATTTCACCAGACCTGGCAAGTGCGTACACCTTTTCCTAATAATAACTTTTTGTAATTAAATGTCCTTTGGAATGCTGCCCCAAAACATCTAGGCTTCCTCTCCCCATTTCCATAATCCCTTCACAATGGACCGGGAGAAGGGGAAATTACTCAATGACTGTCAGAGTGTTTCCTGCTCCCATTGATGAGATCGAGGAAGAATCCACCACCCATGCCTCAAGTCAGTTTCATCTATTAAAATAGTTATCACCCACAAGTATCCATTGTGTACACTGGATTCACCCTATTGTTCACACCATCACTAACCCATTAAGCCCATCATGGACTCTTTGTATATTGCCACACCTCATTCCTTTGTGACTCCACCCCTCTCAGAGGTAGACCATTAAATGGACTGAGAGTTTATTGAATTCCCTGCTACACAGAGAGCCAATCAATGAAGACATGTGACAGAGTCCTGAGCCACTCAGGGCATAGGTCCTAGCAGGACAGTTCTTTGGCCAATCAGGAGCTGCCACAAGTTTCTTTAATAGCTGTCAAAGTGACTAAAAAATTCTGTATTTCCAGTTGTGGTTGTCAGTACTTCGGAGTGCTTTTTCCGCTGACATCCTTCCTGGCAAAGGGGAATTAACCTCTGCTTTTGCCTCTAACCCATCTTTGTGCAATTTGGACTTCTGAATAAGGAGGACATACTGGGATTCTGATCCTGCAGTGTTTGCAGTAGCTTAAATCACTCAACATGAGGAAAACAAGTTTTTACATTAATCCAGGGATAGAAACTCTGCAACCCATCATTTGTTGTTGAACTACAACTTCCAGCATTGCTCACCAGTGGCTATGTGGCCTAGGGCTGCTGGGAAGTTTGTACTACAGTTTCCCGAACCCTTCAGATAGCACAAATAGTGAGCATGCTGGCTGGTGATTCTTTGCTTTAAAAATAAAGGACAATTAGCAACTCTGTGCAAGATCTTTCCTACTATGCCAGTAATTCTTGAACTTTGGCTCTCCAGTTGTTTTGAACTTTAAGTAGCAGAAGGCCAACCTAGCTTGTCTTATGGTCAGACATTCTATAAGCTGAAGTCCAAAACCCCTGGAAGAAGAAAGTGTAGGAACCACTGCTCCAAGTGATGCCATCTACAACTTAACAGAGGAAGACCATAAGCAGCATCTCTCACAAATGGAAATTGACAGTGGACTATTTTAAGCTTCCAAAGCTTGTCAAACACACCACAAAGAAATATAATAAGGTCAGGACTCATTCTGTCAAAGAAAAATTAAAATCCTTATCAGGCAAAGACAGCTATGTTGTTGTCGTGAGAGTTATATTTGCTTCTTAAGATTTCTAAAAATCTCAGTCTTGTCATACCAAACATAAGCTAAACTATTGATTCATTTTATCTAAGAAGTAAACATAGGCAACAGTTTCTGAGATTATGAGATAAAACATGCACAAAGGACACACATGCACACCAGCTTAATTGTAAAATTCTGGGGAACTTGGAAGCATAATCTAGCCTCTGTGTATGAAGGGGAGGAGTCCAGAGAGTAGAAAAAAGTAGGTGTAGATTTACACTCATGCTATTCTCATCATTGCTTTTTCATATGGTTATGAAGAGCATTGACAAAACTGCAGAAGAAGACCAAAGAAATTAATGGAAAGTTTAAAAGATGATTTGGAACTCACAGTCATGTGCTACAGAGAATTCCACCATGTTTAAGCAAGGTAAGAAATTAAAATTATTCTAATTAAACTAGCTTTGAAATATTTTGAGTGGATATCTGTAACAGAATATAAATAAGAGTATTAAAAACTTACAAACTAATCTGAATTTTAAGTCATACATAGCTGTGAAATGCAAAGAGTAGTTATCCACTTTATGAATTTTATGTTCTGTTACCTAATTTCAGTTTTTAGTGAAGGAAGGGTTTCAAGTCGCTTTTCAGGAATTAGAATAAATGCCAATCTCATCCATTCATTTTACCTTGACATTCAGCATCTATATGAAATGTTAAATTCCTAATGACATAGCTCATTATACTTTGGTGAAGTGTTAACTATGCACAAAAGTGGGATTTGTTAATAATCGAAAGGTAAAGCATGAATTCAGTCTTGAAAGCCATATGAGCAACTCCCCCTTGCAAAATCAGTTTTCCATTTCATTAAGGTATATTAAGGATAAAATGCTGGAAAGTCATTAACTGCATGTGATCAATGTGCCAGACAAGGTTAATCTTATTTGTGAACTATTATTTGTAATCTTTCTCATAACATCAATCATGAGACACAAAAGAACACAAATACAAATTACCCATTTCCATCAATTTAAATGAAACTGTGGCATGATTGACTGATCTAAAATGCAACCAAGTGAACACACAGAATTCACAAAGATGAACTGGCATTACTTTGGGGAGATAACATCCAAAGCAGGGGAAAAAATCAAAATCTTAAAAATTATGCAAGATGTACAATTGTGGTATATCAAAATTATGAAAGATGTACAATTGTGGTATATCAAAAAGACAAAATACTATTAAATTTGTGGACAGGATCATTCTAGGACATCTAAAATGAGATACAATATTTAATTTGTTGGAGGTTTAGTTTAAAAACATACTAGAAATGTATTGTCAAAAGCTTTCATGGCCGGAATCACTGGGTTGCTGTGAATTTTCCAGGCTGTATGGCCATGTTCCAGAAGCATTCCCTCCTGACATTTTGCCTGCATCTATGGCAGACATCCTCAGAGGTTGTGAGGTCTGTTGGAAATTAGGCAAGCATGTGGACAATTTCAACAAAAAAGAAGTAACCATGAAAATGAACAAAATCTGGCTACGAGTATTTAAAAAAAACCTCTAAAATCATAACACTAAATAAAGGATAACACTAAAACAATTGGGGAATTCCAGAGAAGAAATAATCAGGGCCAGCTAATCACCCTCCAACAAAGGATTACCCCAGGCAGTAAGCAGCCAGACCTTGAAGCTGCAAAGCCATTAAATGCTAATCAAGGTGGCCAATTGCAACACTCACACCTCCCTCAAATAGACAAGAGTTATTTCTCCCACCCTGGACTTTCAACAGATATATAAACCCCACTTGCCTATTTTCCAACAGACTTCACAACCTCTGATGGTGCCTGCCAAAGATGCAGGTGAAACGTCAGGAGACAATGCTTCTGGAACATGGCCATACAGCCCAGAAAACTCACAGCAACATACTGGAAATCTCTAAAACATCTAAAAAAATTAAAAATTGCTATTTCAAGAACTATATCTATAGCAAATACTTGCCCCATTGCAGGCAATTACTAAGCTCAACAGGAGGATATCTCACATTTAGAATATTAATGGTGCTTTTCTAAAAATGCAGATGTGATTTTCAAATGGTTTTTACTCATCAGTATTTTAATTGATTAATTTGGTTTCTATCCAGAATTTCGTCCCAAATAGTATTCAAGGCAATATAAATTAAAACAGAACAGCTGCAACTATATGGCGCAAACGTTTAAAAGGCATTGAACAATCAATCCAATTAAAACAAGACACATTTATGTAAAACAATTGAAAAACCTAAATGGCAGCTATCACATTAAGAGTTTGATTTAAATAAGACTGGCCACAAAAAAAAATCACAAGGCACATCTATACTGACTTCCTAATGAAAACTAAGGGACCTTCAATGCAGCCATATAATCCAGACTATCAAGGCAGATAATCCACAATATCTTATTTGAACTGGTATATGAGTCCATACTGCCATATAATCCAGTTCAATATGGATTTTATACACCTGTGTAGAAGGGCCCTAAGATGGGTTTATGGCATTCACCCCTGGTTTTCTGCAGCTCTTCCTCCTGAGCATCACAACTGCAGAAAACTAGGGGTGAATGAAACAAACCCATTTTGCCTGAGTGGAATAGGGCCATTTTTAATACATCTGTAAAAATGGCCAGTGCAGTTTCTCTTTGAAAACTTTTGAAAGCAACCACCTGATTTCTTTTTCCACTTTCAGGCAAACTCTCTGGAAGAATATCAAACACCACTTTCATCATTTTCTTCTGCAACACTTACAGCGGACCAGAATGGTCTTGTTACTTTGTGGTTGTGATTTTCTTTTTAGTTCTGCTCATAGGATTTCTGGGGAATACATTCACACTGCTCTTCTATATATGCACTTGGAGATCATGGACTAGTAGCACAATTTTTCTGTTCAATTTGGCACTGTGTGATTTTACTTGGATTTTCTTGATTCCCTTTGCCGTCTACTACTACCTACATAAGCGAACTGCATACGTTACTCAGCTATTCTGCCAGCTCAAAAGAACATTCTTTGGCATCAATATCTATGGCAGCATCTATTTTCTAACGCTTATCAGTTTTGACCGGTATGTGGGTGCTGTCCATCCCATCCGATCCTTTAAAAGATGGGATAAAAGCAAGGCTACATTTTGTACTATGGCTGTATGGATTGTCATCTTGATAGAGTCCATTCCTGATGTTTATTACACCTTTGTGGTCCAAAGAGAAATAGGGTCTAAAGCTTGCCTTGACAACATTGGAGAGACTCTGTACTTTGTGGTTCCATTCACAATTTTCAGACTTTTATTTGGTTTCCTCATTCCTGTCCTGATCATTTTCACATGCTATACCTTGACTCTTAAAGCATTACGGAACATGAAGAACCACCATCAGAGAAGAAAAAGAATTGTGAAGCCCTTGTTGTTGGTTTCAGCTGCCATGATTGTTTTTGCTGTGGCTTTCATTCCTTATCATGGCATGATACTGGCAGTGCTAATCTACAGAATCAATAACCAACTCAATGCTGACAATGTAAGGTTAATACTTACTATATATAAATTCACAGAAATCATCTGCAGTGTCAGTAGTTCCTTGAACCCATTCATTTTTATGTTAGCCAGTAAGAAATTCAAGGAAAAGTTTAAAAGGTTCTGGTGCTCACCTAGAAAGAGGTGTCTTTGCTGTCAATCACACCGAGTGAGTGATATTGCAACTGAACTATGATAGGTAAAGTCACACATGGATAAAAGCTTGTGAACTGACTCCATAATATAAAGAGATTAATATACATTTTAAACCTATTGTCATTTAGTAATAGAAAAGTAACTTCCCACCAAATCCTAATTGCTCCAGTAGAACTATACCGATTCTTTAAACTAGTGGTTCCCAGCCTGTGGTCTGTGGACCATCAGTGGTCTACAAGAACTAAAATATGGTCCATGGCCTCATCATTACTACACCGTTGCAACAAGAGCAACTGGCCTTGTGAAAATCTCTTATATTACCGAGGCTTATTAATGGTAGGTTACATACCTGTGACCATCTTTCTTCGAGTGGTGCTCTGCGAATTCACACTTGTGGAGAGACTGCGCCTGCGCGGGCTCCAACGGAAACTTCTACATTTTAAAACTTTTCAAGTTTTGGCGGTAACCCCGCCCAGCCCCGGCAGGGGATAAAAGGGCGCCCCGCGCACACCGATCCAATTCCTACGCCGCTACGGTAGCGAGAAATTGGAGGTTTGCATAGAGGGGAGGCTGGGCGGGTTAGTGTGAATTCGCAGAGCACCACTCGAAGAAAGATGGTCACAGGTATGTAACCTACCATTTTTCTTCGTGGTCTCTGCGAATGCACACTTGTGGAGACTAGCAAGCTTAGGTCCCGGAGGCGGGAAGAAGGCAAACCGACTAGCCAAGTCAAGGGCCAAACAATTTTATTAAGTGCAAACAGTTACCAACAAGAGATTGTAATCACTTCCAAAGAAGGGCACAGTGCATAAACTTATGGGAGTACGTGATCCTCCCGGTCACGTGAAGGTGACCAACAACTGAGTAAACTTTCGACCCTTGAAATAAACCGCATGGTGATTATCGAAGACACTCATTACAATGAGGGCACATTAAATAGTAATACAAAAATAGTTTGTTAACAAGTGCACAACACATTTGCAAGGCAAAGCCATCGATAAAGACACAGAATACCCGTGATGAGCCCATTAGGCCATAGTGCAATGGTTGCCTGCGCCTCAGGCAGTAAGGCATCAAGTGTAAAAAGGTGCATATACATTTACTGGTAAAAAATTCAAGTAACCACATGGTAATAACATTCACAGTAATACACGGTATCGAAGGAACAATCGGTACCGATAGAACACTCCGCGAAGCTCAAGGCGGGCATGAGCCCAGCACCGCCCTCCCAAAGGCCATGTCAGGTGTATACCTGGTGTTCAGTCTATAATGCGACACAAAAGTCTGAGGACTCTTCCAAATGGCCGCTTTGCAAATAGCGTCCAGGGGAATCCCCTTAAGGAAGGCTGTCGAAGCCGCCATAGCCCTGGTCGACCGAGCCCGGACGACCGAGGGGGGTTGTTGTCGAGCCAGTCGATAACAGAGCTCGATGGTCGAGGTAATCCAGTGCGACAAACGTTGCGCCGTGATCGGCAGGCCCACCTTATCGAGGGCATATGCGACAAAGAGTCTCTGCGACCGTCGAGACTGAGCAGTCCTGTCCTTATAACACAGCAATGCTCTCCGCACATCGAGCATATGAAGTCTCCTTTCCCCCGGGGTAGAGGGGGACTGACACAACGAGGGAAGGACAATGTCTTCATTAACATGGAAGGGGGACACGACCTTAGGGAGGAATGTCACATCTGTGCGGAGAACTGCTCTATCCTCGTGGACAACAAAATAGGGTTCGTCCACCCACAATGCCGCCAGCTCCGACGGCCGACGGGCTGAGGTGATCGCGACCAGGAAGGCCACCTTCCATGACAACAACCGAAGTTCAATCGAAGACAATGGCTCGAAAGGCGGTCGAGTGAGCCGAGCCAGCACGAGGTCGAGGTCCCAACCTGGAGTTGGAGAACGGACCGGGGGATGCAGGTTGTTGAAACCTCGCAGAAAGGACCTCACGGAGCTATCCTTAAACAGGGAAGCCTCCCCTGTCCGTTGAAGCTGCCACGATATGGCTGCCAAGTGAGACTTAAGTGAAGATAGCGACAAGCCTCGTTCGGTAAGGTGCAACAAGAACGAGAGAATTGCCGGTACTGAAGGTCGATGATCGTCTAGGCCTTTCTCGGAGAGGAAGGCCTGGAAACGGCTAAGGCATGCTGAGTAACACTTTTTGGTTGCTGGCTTGTGAGCTGCTTCCAGTATTGGAAGAACTCCTGGACACAGGGATCTCAACACCGGATCCTCCACGCCGAAAGATGCAGAGAAGCGAGGTCGGGGTGGAGAAGCTGACCCTCTTCCCGGGAGAGCAGGTCCTGCCGAAGTGGAAGGCGCTTCATTCGTCCCTCGGACAACTGGAGTAGGACCGAGAACCACGGTTGTCGTGGCCACTCCGGCGCCACCAAGATGCAGTCTGTTCGCGCCGACTGGATCCTCTCGATCACCCTCGGGATGAGCGGGAAGGGGGGGAAGAGGTAAAGCAGATGCCTCGACCAGTCCAACAGGAACGCGTCTCCGAGACACCCCGGTACCGTGTTCGGAGCAAGTCGAGCACCGAACTGAGGAAGCTGAGCGTTTTGCGGCGACGCGAAGAGATCTGCGGCTGGGAGGCCCCATTCCCTGAAGATCTCCGCCAGTACGTCGGGGTTCAGCCTCCACTCGTGGGATGCTGCCCTGGTTCTGCTGAGTGCGTCCACCTCGACGTTGGCGTCGCCCGGGAGGTGCAAGGCTGTTATCGACACCGACCTGGCCACACACCAGTCCCAGAGTTCCAGCGACAGCTTGAGAAGTTTTCTCGAGCCCGTTCCTCCCTGCTTGTTCACGTAGAACATTGCCACCATGTTGTCCGTGAGGATCTGGACAGACTTCCCGGTGACCAGGAGGGCAAATGCTCTCAGGGCTTTGAAGATTGCTAGCAGCTCCAAGTAGTTGATATGGGACTGTCTTTCTTGAGGAGACCAGAAGTCGTGTACCGAGAGTTCTCCTGTATGGCATCCCCATGCGAACATCGAAGCATCCGTCGTGATCGTGACGGCTGGGGGCTCTGGATGAAAGGGAATGCCCTTGCAGACATGCTGACGGTTCATCCACCAGTTTAGCGAGTCCTTTACCGACCTCGGTACCAGCAGGTGCTTTGCAGCGCTGTCCCGCATGGGGTTGAAGTGGTCCAAGAACCATCTCTGGAGGGGGCGGAAGCGGAGCCTTGCCAATGGCGTCACCATCACCGTGGAGGCCATGTGCCCGAGGAGGACCTGTATCTGCTTCGCCGGGACCACTCAGGAGCGACGCACCTTGAGTGTTTCGGCTCGAAGAGCCCTGAATCTCTCCTCCGGAAGGAAGACTGTCTGGGAGAGAGAATCGAACATGGCGCCGATGAACTTTATGCAGGTGGTGGGCTCGAGCTGGGATTTCTCCTCGTTCAACTGGAGGCCCAGATCTTCGAGGAGAGAGAGTGTCCTTGCCACCTGCGCTCGCAGGAGGTCCGGGGAGCGTGCCGCCAACAACCAGTCGTCTAAGTAAGGAAAAATGCGGATTTTTTCCCTTCTGAGGGCCGCTGCGACCACCGACATGCATTTGGTGAAAGTTCTCGGTGCCGTCACGAGACCGAACGGGAGGACGTTGAACACGTACGTCGTCCCGCTACCCTGAAGGCCAGGAAGCGTCTGTGATGTTTTCTGACCGAGAGATGAAAGTAAGCGTCCCGGAGATCGACGGACGCGAAGAAGTCCCCATGTCTGAGGAGCGGGAGAATGGACGATACTGTCACCATCCGAAACTTCTGCGGTTCGATGAAGGAATTTAAGTCTCTGAGATCGAGGATGGGGCGAAGGGAGCCATCCGGCTTTGGGACAGTAAAGTATCTGGAGAAGAAGGCTCGATGGTTTTGAGAGTCCGGGAGGGGGGAAATTGCCCCTTTCAAAAGCAAGGTATTGACCTCTGTCAGGATCGCCGAGGAAGGCTCGGTATCGACAATCAGCCCTGTTGGTGGGAGCTCTTCGAACTCCAATGCATAGCCTTCGTCGACAATCTTTAAAACCCATGCATCTGAGGTGATATTTTCCCATGCAGGGAGAAAGTTCGTCAGGCAATCTCCGAACGGTGTCGAGCCGGATGGAAGGATGAGGGCGGGTACCATTGGGAGGGACATGGGAACAACATCGGTAACGAAACTGCAAACGGTATCGTCCATAAGGGCGTCAAATGCGGCGCCTGGCCTGGTTGCCTCCTGAAGCCTGGCGAGAGCGAGAGCGCTGCTGCTGGTGCTGCCTTCGTTGCTGTTGGGGTTGTTGAGGATGGGTTTGTTGGGAGGTCTGCAGGGGACGGGCTGGATGACGGTACTGAATGGTACGGTACGGGACCGTGTGCCGGCGTTTGTATTGGAACCATCTGGTTCTCTGTGCTTGGTTTTGATTATCAAAACCACACTTAGAGGCCAAAGTCTTGAAGTCGTGATTTGACTTCAACTTGTCGTCCGTCCCGGCGTTGAAGAGCCCCAGGGCATCGAACGGAAGGTCTTCTATCACCTGCCTCGATGAGGTAGAGAGGCCAGATGATCTCAGCCAGGCATGTCTCCTGATTGCCACAGCGTGAGCAATCATCTTGCCCGCAGTGTCCCCCGTGTGTTTGGCCATCTGCATCTGGTGATGCGCCAGAGAGTTTGCCTCTTGAGCCAGGGTGGTCATAGCAGCACGATCCTCGGCAGACATCCTCTGGAAAAATGGTTCTGCCTTCTCCCAGAGAATTTGTTGGTACGCCCCCATACAAGCCCCATAGTTCGCCATGCGGGCTAGCAGAAGGGCACCGGAGTAGAGCTTCCTGCCCACAGCGTCGAACCTCTTCCCTTCACGGTCGGACGGCGCCGACGACTGCCTTCCGAAACCTTGAGCTGCTTTCACGACCACTGAGTTAGGGTCGGGATGGTGCTTCAGCCACTCCAAACCCTCATCGTCCATTCTGTACCAGGACTCAATCTTCTTGGAGGTTGGAGGGATGGAGGAGGGGGTCTTCCAAGAGCCCTGGATCACTTCAAGAAGGTAGGGAAGGAAGGGTAGGAGAGGAGCGGGCGGGGACTCCGCTTGCACCCTTTTGAACACCGGGTCTAGCACTGCCTTGGTAGTTTGCTTGACCTCCAGGCCTAAAGCATCAGCCATGCGAGCCATTTGATCCGCAAAGGCTCGGACATTGTCAGTGGGAGACGGAGGATCCGCCTCATAGGCATCGTGGGTGGGTGACCTCTCGATCCCGAGAGACAGCACCGATCCCGAGTGTACCGATCCCGGTAACTTGCCTTCCTCTTCTTCATCATCAG